AAGAAGTTGTGACCGGTAAGAAGAGACTTTCATTGCTTAACTTGGGGTCTCTCTAATGTTGAACATTTGGAGGGTTCTTTCGCATGTATATAGGGCTTACGGGCAGCATGAGGGTAATAGCTCATTGCCCCTTGGTTTGCGAAGCACGGCCATACGCGATATTCATAATTATGTTTATTCATCTGTTGTACAGGTCGGTCGTCTCCTTCATGTGCTGTACGGAGAAAGTCGAAGGAACATCTCACTAAGACGAGTATGCCGCAATTGTCCCCAAGAGATATGGAAATTGTGAAAGCGGCTGGTGTGAGTGCTGAGAGAGTTAAAAAGTTGCATATGAGAGTTTGTAAGAAGTTCACTGTTTCTCCCGTTTCTGAACCTGAGCCGTACTTTCAAAGAACGATGAGTAGAGGGGTTCAGATTTACAATACTTTTAGTGCTAAAAACAAAGAAAAGGGCGGCTTGGACAGTTAGGGTATCATTCATCTCATGGTCATGCGTGTTGCTTGGTATGTCTTTGCAGCAGACATGAGCGCACCGAGCATTGGAAAAGGTGAGGGAGAGTTGTCGAACTTGTTAGACAACCTCGTACATTCTCGCCTATCTTCGGCGCTGATTGTGGCTCGCCTACCAGTGGAGAACTTGGTTGTTAGGGTCCGAGACATAGACAGCTTGTTGGACAGAGGCGACAAGCTGAACGACGAGGTCGTGAACTTTTACTTGGCCCTGCTCGTTAGGGATACTCGTACATCTTCTTCGAAAGTGTACAGCTTTGTTTCTTTCTATTTTACGAAATTGCTACTTCAGGGTTGTAAAGGGGTGACAAGATGGACGAAAGATGTCAATCTTTTCGAATATGTCGTGTTGCTGGTCCCTATTCACAAGAACAACGAACACTGGGCTCTTCTTACTGTAGATTTTAGTAAGAGAGTTGTACACTACGTTGATTCATACTATAGTGCAGTGTGCGACGCTTCATTTGCTTCGACTGCTTGTAGAGCGGTTCTGCAGTACCTGAATGAAGAGGCAATGATAAGAGTGTTGCCCCAAAGGTATGATGACATGAGATTCAAAGTTCTCGTGAAAGGTGTGCCAAGGTAGGATGACGGATCCAGTTGTGGGGTTTTCATGTTGATGTTTGCTTCCTATCTAGCTAGGGAACTACATCCGCCTTTTCGTTTTTCGAACGTTCATATACCAGCTATTAGATGCAAACTGGCATCCATTATCTGTTCCATAGGATTGGATATGTGTTGTGAGTAGTTAAGGATATGTAGTTTTGTCCATAATTCAGCAACGGCCTGTGAGGTTGAACTTTTGTCGTGCATAGTTCAGAATTTTGTTGCCATTTGGCCTTGTCAACAGTTCAGCGAGTTCAACTACGTGGGGACTCTCTCTCTCTTTGTCTCTCTCTCTCTCTCTCTCTCTCTCTCTCTCTCTCTCTCTCTCTCTCTCTCTCTCTCTCTCTCT